CAGGTAAGTTGGGATGATGCCCTGAGGGTGAGTATGGGAGAACAGACTGGCTGGGGTCTCCTGGGGAGGACAGAGCTCTGAGAGGGGACAGAGGACTTCTGTTTGAACCAGAGGGGAGGGGACATGGGAGCAGAATAGGACGAGTAGAGGGGGCTCAGCAACAGGAAAATCTCATTGAACTGGAATTAGTGAGGGGCAGGAAAACCTCAATTGTTACATTTTTTGAAGTTACAGTTTGAAAATAAGCTAACTATATCAGAGTGACACTTCAGAAAAAAACAGAATCAGGGGCACTAAGCATTGTCCTTACCAATAAACCTCATAAAGTAACAAACACCATGATATGGAGGGCCCTGGGAACACTCATTCGTTCACCCACAGGTGTTTGCAACCTGTTTCAGGGACTAAGGGAACAAGATCAGACAAGTCCCTGCCTTGATGAAGCTCACATTCTATGAGGAGGAAGACAGACAAGCAAAGAAATCTGAATGTGATTTCAGGGACTGACAAGTGTCATGCAATGAACGGACCGGGGAAAGGTCAGAAAGGGAAGTCAAAGGGTCTTCAGAGCAAGCGGTCAGGGAAGCCATCTCCCAAGGATGCCCCTGAGAGTGAGCAGGGCACTGAGGGCAGTGAGGGAGTGAGCCAGGCAGACACCTGGGGAAGACTAATGGAAACTAAAAGAAATAACAAGTTCAGAGGGGCTGAAGTAATGGTGGTGATGCTGGTGACCTTGACCAGTAGGAGACACAAGAATACATACACACAAACTCCAAGTCTAAGAGATGAAGAGACCCGTTCAGGACCCAGGTCCTCATTTTTCCATCCCAATACATAAGTCCAAATATTGACTGATCGCTCTCTCTCTCTCTCTCTTCCTTCCTAGTCTCACTCTTAACCTTCTGGAACCCACCAACCATTGCCCAAATCATTATTGAATCGGTGCCGACCAATGCTGTTGAAGGAAAGGATGTTCTTCTACTTGTCCATAATCTGCCTGAGAATCTTTTAGGCTACGTCTGGTACAAAGGGGAAGGAATAGATCCCAATCAACAAATTGTAATATATGTGATAGAAAAC